CTCTCTCTCTCTCTCTCAAATAAATAAATAAAATCTTTAAAAAAAAAAAAACAATATTGAAGTGGAGGCCAGAATACACCATTAACAAAATTTTACATACTCACACTTCTTAAAAAATGTGTATGGGAACAAAGGCACATAATAAGTTTTATCCAACTACTTCCATACTTAGCCAGTGAAATGCATTTATTCCTGCCACTGTCATTAAAAATGTTTTAGAACATATTTCAATTCCTTTTGCTTTTCCCATCAGCCTATGTTTTAGGCAATAACATTATAATCTGCCAGCAAATTATAAAAACTTTTTTCAACTTATCAGATCAAAGAATTTAGTTGATAAAATTCCCATTCAAAAATTTAAATCTGGGTCACCTGGCTGGCTCACTTAGTAGAGCATACAACTGTAAATCTCAAGGTTGTGAGTTCAAGCCCCCTGATGGGCATGGAGCCTATTTAAAAATAAATAAACTAAAATTTAAATCGAATCACGTCTAGGTATTCTTTAATATCTATTACTATCATTTAACCTATTTGAGTCACATGAGATTAGGGCTTATGAGTGCAAAACATACAAATAACTCAGAGTTTTTCCGCGAAAATAACATTTTAGAGTGGTTGTCCATTTCTGAGTTGTTTAATATTGACTACGCAGCTGAATAAAACTGGCACAAAGACGCATTAAATATCCAATACAGAAAGACAAACATTCTGTCGGTGTGTTTATAACAATGTAACTCACAGGCATTGCATAGAAAGCCGGGGGCAGCGCTGTGCTGATCCGCAAAGTGCTTGCACCTGCAGCGAATGGGCTGGGTGCCGTTCAGAGGGACGTAAAGGTACGCCCTGCACCCGCAGCTGCTCACTCGGCAAGAGAGACTAATAGGGCGTTGCTGTGGAATCGTTTCAAAGTCAGTTTTATGTTGTTTATACCTAAAAAATAAATAAGATAAAAGAAACAAAAACAATGCAGGGATTGCTGGAAATTACAATCTCTATTCTGTTAAACGCAGAGTATTCTTCTTTATTTTTATTTTGCTGTTCTTGTTAGTAAGGCGAAAATAAACTCCCTTACGCTCTTCTGTCGCTCCGTCACAAATTGCTTTGGTCGGAAAAAACCTTCACTCTTTTAGATTTTTTAGTTATTTAAGAAGAATTTTCACAGCAATACACAAAGAAATATAATTCCCTTTAAATACTTACCACTAAAGATTCTTTAATATGGAAGCACAACCTAAGAGTGTGGAAAAATTTCTTTAAAAAAATTATTTTTATCAAAGTACTGAAATTTATTTTCATAGGTTTGCTATTTAAAACTGAAATGAGGGCGCCTGGGTGGCTCAGTTGGTTAAGCGACTGCCTTCGGCTCAGGTCATGATCCTGGAGTCCCGGGATCGAGTCCCACATCAGGCTCCCTG